ACATTTTCAAATAATAACTTTTTCATTTAATAACTCTCCTAAATTTATTGGTAAAACATTGGAAACTTCATAAATGTATTATATGCCATTTTCATTTTTCAAATAATGTTTAAAAAAAATTAGTAAGATTTTCACGAAATAAAATTGTATTCATAGTAGCTTATGAATATAAGCTGCTATGAAAAAGTCAATATGAAGTAATAATAGAGGAGCGATAGTAGCAGTAGCAGATTATACGTACGTCAACACAATTACAAGTATAGGAGAATAATCTTTATTGATCTACGTGCAATGACATCTTAATGATGCTATTATTACAAATTGTTTCGTTTGACGTAATGTATATTAATTATTTAAACTGCAAATGTTTTAACGCATTTTTAACCTCTATAAAAATACGTAGAAATTCAGAATTTTTGTTAGAAAATTATTCATAAATAAATAAATAAGAGAAACTGTTACCGTACAAATATTTTCTTTAAAAACATAACAAAAAGCAATAAATTATTACAAACAAGTAAAATAAATAACACATTTATAACCGCTCAACAACTATTATAATAGATTTTATCAATTCTATAAAAAAGCGATTAATCTTTAATTTTGAAAATCGATCAACAAGTCCTATGTTTAAGCATTATATGCATTCTAAAGAAAATAATGGCAGCATTTCACTTCTTATTTTCATATTTATTATCAGATAACACTTTAACATGGTATAGCGTAAACTATTAACTTATAAGTAGAAAATTTTCTACTATTCCTACAACTGATAGCATTACCTACAGTGATAAAGTGGTGTAGCCAACAGATTATTTGATTAAATCATCGGCGAATTCTTCAGCATAAAATTATTTTCCTGGCCAAAATTGATCTTTTTCTAATTCTGGTGCATCATTTGATGCGTCGTCAACCATACACAGTGATACCTATAAATGGAGCATATAGGAGAAAGTCAAGTATTTAAACAAATAATTTAACAAAAAATTTTTTCTAGCTAAAAAAGAAACAAATAATTTTCTAGCTTAAAAAAGTGAACTTAAAAAAAAAAGATTGTTGCATTCTTTTTTGTAGGAAAGATGAAAATTAAAAACAAACTGCTAAATTTTTATCAAGTAAGAAATTGCTCTCGAAATCATCATCATCTTCACCAAATGGATTTAAAAGACCTTCAGCTACTTTCATCCAACCAACAAATATTATAAATTCCATCATTGTAACACATGGAAGTATCAAATCAATCTAAAAATTTATGCATGTAATTAAAAAATTATTTTGAAAAAATAATTAACGATACCTTAATTAAAACAATGCTAAATAAATGCAACTGAAAAAAAAAACATACGTTACTTTTATTTGGTGCGTCACGTTCTGTAATTATAAATTGTCGTGAAATTAAACAGATAGCAAAATAAACGTAAACAGCTAAGAATACCAGCTGCAATATCTTATATTATTATTAAAGTTAAAATGAAAATGTAAAATAGTTCGTGGATGAAATTAAAATTATATCAGTAAAATTTGCTATGCTAAAAAACAATTAATTTACGTTATTGAATTTAAATCGAACTAAATTAAACTCAACTATTATTATTTCAAGAGAAAATATTAGTGAGGTTGAATGAAAATCCAAAATTATTGATTAGATAAAAATGTAAATATATGAAATTTTTAAAAACATCAATCAATTGAAATGGAAATGAAAAATTTTTTAAAAAAATTTGCTACTTTTACCTGTGGATATGCTAATGGTATTGGAACCCAATCATAATTGCATAATATCTGCAGATGATTTCGAAAATTGTTTACTTCCTTAAAAGAAATTAATTGAAAGTTTATTAACTCGAATCAAAATAATTTCTAATTTATTATGCCATTCATCAAATGCTTCCTTCCTTCAATAACTAAGCATTAACAACAATCATTGAAAGTTAATTAGTAAAAACAAACATCACAAAGTTTATTGGCGAATGGATCGCTTACAATTTTACCATTTTTACGCCCACGAAAAATAAGCGCATATATCCAATTGATAGGTACCCAATGTTTATCAAAATCTAATTGAATTGATTCCAATATTTCACATTCATTTTCTAACATAAATCCTCAAAAAGAAATTGATATATGGGAATTAAATATTATTTAAGGAAAAAGAAAAATGTTGTTTTGCTTTGATAAAATTAATAATAAGAAAAAGAAGAATAAGAACTAGACGTAACCTGCTTTAATGATACTCTCATACGTTGGGAAACGTTTCCGAACACGTATACTAATATCTCTATAGACGAGTAACTGTGTTAAACATAAATAACGTGCCATAGTTCGACGTAATAAACGTGATTCATCGTCTTCGCCGTATACATATCCACCGATATACATCGATGTGCTAAAATTATTCGTTGCTTTCTTTTTAGAAAAAGAATAATAATCGTTTAATATAAATAACTGATATGAATACTATGAATTAAATATTACAGCTAAAATTTTGAATTAAAAAAAAAAGATGTTTTTGCAAATCATTACATATTAAAAATTATTAACAGTGTTAAAAAACCAAAAAAATTTTTAAAGCATGTAAGATATAGCTCATCGAATTTTATAAGAAAGAAAGTGTCAACATTTCCTTATAGTTAAAACCCGATAAAGTTGCATATAGATAAATTAACCGGGATAATTTATTATTTATAATTGTGAAATTTAAATTAAACAAGATAATTCAATAGCAATTATTGTAAATTTTTCTAAAATGTGTCAAATCAAATTATACACTCGAACATTAATTATTAAAGTAATTCTTTATTTAAAAAATATACACCATACAATTCAAATTATTAATATAAATTTCAGATATTAAAAAACAAAAGAGTGAACGAATAGCTAAATCAGAATGACCTTTCGATGTAGCCCATATTTTCAAAAAGTACCGACCAACGCTTTACAACAGTCTGCACAAAGAAGCCAAGCATAAATGTTAATGGGATATAATTGAGATGAGTATTGAAATAATTTGCAAGCTTTTCAAAAATTCTAAATAGTATTTCATTTCATTAATCGATTACTGTTTTATAAGGATGTATTCCTTTCTACCGAAATATATATCCTTCAATGGATATACATTTCATTTTAATTATTGATCTCTTACTATCAGTGTTAAAATAAGTTATACATTAGCTTTTCTTACAATTTAAATAAAAATTCTCAGTAATTTCAATGTAATTATCTCAAAATAAATCTTAGATTCTATTAGCTAAATTAATTAATTAGCTCATAGAACATAAAAAAGCACCATAGAAAGACATTTAATTAGCTATAAAAAAATAATTATCCAATAAAAATAAGAAGTCTAGCTTCAAGAAAAAAAGAACTTTGAAATTAATTAACTAACACTTTTTGATTGTAAGTTAAAAAATAGGATGAACGATAGATAAATGTTATAATCAGAAAAATCAATGTCCAAATGCAAAGTTCTTTGATGCATAATTTCCAAATGCTACCTTTCCAACGAAATATTAATCGCAAAAAATTAAACGATGATCCGGAAGCAATATCCATACTGTATGAAATTGTCATTTTCACTTCCTCTCTAAATTTTACATTTAATAAATGGAAAAAAAAAACAGTATAGTATATTGATGTGAACAAATTAATAATGATAATGTTCAAATAAATTCTTAATGATCAAATTATTTCAAAACAATCAATTAACCGATATGTTAACTTATTATCTATTTTAATAATTATTTCTTGTGTAATTAATTAAAGAAAGAGCTATATTACTATTGATTATTACATAATACTATTTTAACACATTCAACCAATAATACAATTCTCATTTTTACAAAGTACAAAACTTTTTAAAAAAGAAAGAAAATGAAAGAGAAAGAACTAAAAAGATAAAAATGGTAAAAATGGTACATTTTAAATAAACATCGTATCGCCCAAAAAAAAAAAGAGCATATTTGTCGTTAACATTTGCATAGCTGTTGGATCATTCTTGTTTTTTATATATTTTTATTTCTTTTCTATGATTCGATTTTGCTTTGTTTTTTCCAAAATGATTGATAAATGTATTGTATTGCTAAAATTTCCCAATTCAAATAATGTGATATGCATAATTTTGTAAGCATTTTCAATATTAAAAAATGATTGAACTAACTATTATTGAATTAAGGATGCTAATTATAATCGGTTGCCTCAATTTTGGAGCATATGACTTTTTTTTTTAAAATTCAAATATTCCGTTCAAACAGTTGGCATAGTTCACATTGGGGTGGAAACAAGCATTTTCTTGACAAGAAAAATATTCTTGAAAAGCTTTTGACAGATTTATTATGTTAGAAACAAATAATTGCCTATGGAATGAATTACTCAGTTGTTAATTAATTTTGGCATTATAAACTTTCAATTGTGATTTGGAATTATTTTTAATTGTTTCGTATTATACATTTAACCGTTCTTTTAAAAACTATTTCCCGAACATTACTTTTATGATAGATATCTTTTAAAAATCTGCTCATTTTTTAGAATAATAAACCAACACAATTCATTAAATGACAAATTTTTTCGTTTAGAAAAAAATTTATAAAAAATATGCAAAAAAGCATAGCAATTTGATGAAGTAATTATTGATAATCATAACATTTACTATGCATATATCAATGAAACTCATTATTTTAATAAGGACTTATGAAATAAAAAGGGAGAAAGTTTGCCTAAAACACTTTAATTTTACATGTTTTTTTATAAATTTTAAATTTCTTATCTTTTCCACCATTTATTTTAATGAATTGATATTGATCATTGTAAAAAATCATGTCTAATTATTATCATTATACGTAGTCTAAGATACGAAATGATTCAGATGAATATTTTTGATATTTAGTTCTCAATGTATATACACAAAGTTTCAATAATCGGATACTATTACTTGTGCAATAAGGTAAAAGTAAATATACAAATAAAGAATTCTATTTCAAGAATGAATTGAATGCACGTCTTTTTCTTTATTTCTCCTTTTGTTTAAAGACATCCAAACTTATTAGACAATGAAATGAAGGCATTAGAGCATATAACTTTCAGCTAACATATTGCAATTAAGAAAAATTATGATAAGTTTCATAATAAAAATGATAAAAAGTTATCAAAATATTCCAAATTTAAGCAAAAAACAAGTTAACATAATGAATAACTGAAGAAATTCCCGAGAATCCCCGAGCATAACATCACCAATTTATTGACTGTCTTATTTTCCAATGAACATATATCACATATGATTATGTTATAATGTTGAAAAAAAAAATTGACATGTAATTTATTAACATCTATGCTAATGAAGTTACTTATTCGTCGCTAATATTTGCTATAATTTCATGATTCAAGGTAACATATCACCTAATATTCCCTTGTTTTAATGATTATTTGTTCATACAGTCAATGATCAACAGATAAGATCGATTAATCATTATTTCCCTCTGCCAGATGATCAGTTATTTAATATTTAATACCGTCTCTCGAAGGATTTAAATATCACACAATCAGTCTATTTCTTTTTGATTAATCTGTTTCTTCACTTGTGGATATCCTCTCAAATGTATTTTCACCTAAACTCAATCTCTGCAATCAATATTCTCCCAATACGATCAACAAACAGTACAATATCTTCATTTTTGGACAAATCAACAAGGAAAGAATAATCAAGTGATCGATTAAATTAATTATAATTTTAAAAACTGTATTATAACATCAAGAAGGAATAAAAACTCTTCATTACCATTCAACTGTACCTCAAAAAAGTTCACAACATATGCGATTATTCATCTCAATCATTATTTAGAAAAAATGCTTCAAGTTTTTCAGAGATTGCTGTGAGCAACTTTTTTTTATTGTATAAAACAATACAATTTTATTTCATCTAATTAATAATTTCATTAGATTTTGGAGCCATTAAAAAATAATGGCTAAATTCAAAAACTAATAAGTGATAAATTAATAAACTAACAAGCACAAAAAAATTATATAATAAATTTAACATATTCAACAAATGAGATCAGAAGCACCGCAAAAGGTGCTCATTTATAAAATTTCGAATCAGTGAGAGGTTTTAACAGCCACAACCATAATATAAAACCAAGAAGATAAGAAAACCAAAGAAGGGCACGCGTTGAACGTTTCGGATATGCTTCGATAAGTGGCAAAAGTGGTAAACCCATATTGTTACAAATTGAATGGCTTACAATCGGTGCTAATATATGACCTAAAATCCATTCTTTCTTCATTATCATTATCAAAAAAATAAGTACATTACATTTTTATTTTTTTAATGAAGAAAAAAAAAAGATAATCCTCTATAAGAATTCTTTAGAAATCGATAAGTTTTTTATAGTAAAAAGAATCCCCTATTTTCATTAATATCTAGCCATAATGCACAGTTTGAATTTAAATCTGAGATAAGAAAACACAAGTACAGACTTAAGTTTTAGATTGGAAAATTATAGTTCATGTGTTTAATTTGAAATGAAAGAATCTGTCCAATATAATCCAAGATAGAATCAAAGCAGTTTTTATTTTAAAATGATGAAAGATACCTGTGCGAACGAAGAGAAATGTTGCATATGCACCAAAAAAATACGAATAGGACGTTTGAAATGCTGAAAATAAAAATAAAATGAATGAAAAAAAGGTAAAAATGAAATAAAAACAAATGAAATGGTCGATGCTTATGTTATTAGGAAAAAACAATTAAATATGTCATAATGGATAAGTTCATAAGTAACAAAAATTTAGATTTTCGTGATAACATAAGCAGCGACTACTTCGAATATTATACTTTTTCAAGCAAATAAACTTTTTTATTCATTTAATAAGATAAATTATAGTTTGCAAAAGAAAAAAAAAATTGTTTGATGAGTGAACAAACAAAAGTCACCAAAATTGCCCAAACTGCGCGATCGACTACAATCTATTAATAAAAGCAAAGTTGTATTTTAGATAGAATTTGTATCAAAATACTCGAAATTAAAATATTGTGATTTATGCGATTGATGCAAGTTATATATATATTTGTAACAACTTAGTTTCATTTTATCAGAAAATTCAAGAAACCTCTTCGACTGATTGCTTCATATTTGGTATAACCTTTCTTCATATCATCAAAAATATGATGAAGATGACTAAGTGCAAAGGGTAATGGTGCAACAAATATTGTTGCAGTTGATGATAAACATTGCAACATTAAGGTTGATGCGCAAGCACGAAATGCTAATTCTTCTGTAACTGGTGCCTAAAAAAGAAAAGAAAATGAAGTATATTTGAATAATTTGATCATTTCAAAAAAAAGTGAAAATAAAAATGAATGATTAAATGTAGAGCAAAGGAGAATGGATTGAATAGCAATAATTGTTTTCAAATTTACCAATAAAACATCTCGAATCCATAAAATATTTCCAGCATTTCGCTTTAATTCATTCACATCTAAAAAAGAAAAATTATAAAGATTTTTTTTATCGGATAGAGTTACAGATTATTGAAATTTTGACAAAATCAAACAAGTATTCATTAAATTCGACTTATACCATATGTACCAGATCTAAACTTACCATATATTCCATATTCTTTACTACGAGTAATAGCATGACGATAAAAATTAAAATGTGGATTTGAAATATTTACAATTTAACCGGATAATTAATCAAACCAGATGCATTTTAATTGATTTCTAACATCACTTATCAGTGAGAAATTTGATCAAATATTCCATTTTATTCTTATTATTATCATTTTACTTCCTTTTTTCTTTGATTTTGATAAAAATAATTTTACAAGTAAAAAAAGAATGAAAAGACTAACGAAAGAGAGACCAAAAATTATTATCAATATATATCATGACCCAATTACCCAAATAACAAATACACGTTAGTAACGTTGGTAATAAACATGCTGGATAGATACCTCGGGAATGTATTCCCATCACTGATAACGGTGAATCATATTGCTAAAGGATAAAAATAAGTGATAACAATTTAATATATTACAATAAGGAAAATAAAACAGTTAACCATAAAAATGATACAATAAAGATTGACAAAAGAGATTTCAACTAATTCAATGATGTAATTCTCTTATCGTAATTCTCTCATTCCCGTCTCTTTTTAGTCATCTTTATTGCTGCTTTCAGCCTCTGCTCTTTCATATAAAAATTATCAGCAAAAATTTTGTAGCATAAATACTTCCCATACTTCCTCTATTCACAAAAACTATGAATTGTTAATGAATTCACCATCAATAAACTATCAATAATCATTTCGCCGATAAACGCTTAGCGTTACTATGTTTTATGTTACTCATATTTTGCTACTTTTTCAAACATTGAATTTTCATTTTTTTCTATGCTTAATATGATTTATTTGTAATTTCTCAAAATGATTTGAGATCAAATATCTTTAACTGACCGCTATCATTTCGAGTCAAATAAAATAAAAATTAAAAAAAATCATATGAACAAATCTTATGATGTATTGAAAAAACAGGTTAACAGTAACGGGAACTAAATTATCACCATAAGTTTAGTCCAGAAGGGAAAATTTGCATTTTTTTTCGCTATCAAGTTTTACGGTAATTAAATAATATCACATAATAAAATTCGTTATATATCAAATGAAAAGACTTACTGAACGAATCTTTTTACATCAAAATGCTTAAATATCCTTTTAACTGAAAAAAAGATAATTAATAGATCGATCAACTGATAAGATATAAATGAAATTAATGGTACTTACCTTACACAAGACAGCATATGTGCATGCAATACTGATAATATTATTCACCGTAGCACCAAGCAAACGTCGTTTGATACTCTGTGGATCATCACGGTCAACACCATGAAAATCAAATGCATAGAGAAGTCCAACATAGGATGATGAAATCACAGTTGCCAGTGATAAGTACAATAAAATGCTCATTACTTTATCATAAGCTATCTTTTCGATATCACATCCTGAAAAATGATTGAGCAAATTTCGGAGATTTGTAAAATTATCATCATTGCGATTCACATAAACAGATAATCAAATATCGGATACTATTAATGAACAGGAATGATATGCAATGATATGCAATGATAGCAAATATCGGATACTATTAATAAATAGAAATGATATACAATCAATAATTAAATACTAAAACTCAATTATTGAGTGATAACATTGTTAACTGCGAAATTAACCACAAAAAACCAAATATAAAAACAAGAAACATCGCAGATTTAGTGATATTCGCATAAGTGTAACTGTCAGTTATCATGAGCATCACATTTAATAACCTTAAAAATTCTCCACCTAACTTTCAGTATGAATCAAACTCAAAATTCCTCCCTAATTTCAAGATTTACCAATATGAGGAACGCGGTCCAACATCACAGGGATGCATTGAGATTTTCTTCCAAACAAATTTTTCAAGAAACTTTTTCAACAAAATGGTAAGAAAAAGAGAAAGTTACATTTCAATTGGTTATAGGAATTTATAATAAGCAGCAACTGATTTTCAAAAAATTTTAATTTTGGTGAACGAAAATCTAAAGAAAAAGAAAGCTTACGCAATAAATATCACATTTTAAGACGAAAACATTATTTGAAAATAATTCTTTGATTTTCGAATACCTAATTTTACAAGTGAAGTAACTTTTAGTTGATTAATAAAATAATGTGAAATTTTCCAATGTAATTAAACAAAATCCATATGAATGAAAAAATGATAACTGATCGAAAAAAATTAACTAAAGTTCAAGTTTATAACTGCAAGTTTATGACTTTATAACTGTAATATTTCTTGATTAGTACGTGATGGTTATTCACGTAAAACGTAACGTCTGCAACAGACTTTTACTTTAAAAATGAAATATTGCGAAATTTCGACAATTTTACGAACAGCGAAAATCCGTAAGAAACTAAATGAACACAGATAAAATATTTATATAAATCTGCTTATTTTTATAAATTCGGTGCACTTTTTCTAGTAAATTTCAATGTGATTTAAATAATACTAGTTCTGACAATAGAAAAAAAAATAGTGGACACCTTTTGATTTCAACTTAAAATTCTGGAGTTGAAATCAAAATATCATGATAATCTTAAAACAATTAAAGATTAAAATAAGCCAATTATTATGTTAATTACAATATGTTATCAGAAAAATGAAAAAGGGATGATGAAATGTGAAACTTTCTCGTAATTTTAGAATTAATCAAACAAAGAAATTAGCTTTGTTCCAAAATGCACATTTGAAAGGATGAAGAAATTGACGATTTCTTGAAAGCATAAGTCAATTTGCATACTTAAGCCTCTAAGATGATTTGAAAATGTTTTTTTGTGAAGAAAAGAGAAGGAAAATTCTAGTTGTTTTCTCCAAAATGGCTCTCTTAATAATAACTCTGGACAATCGATAAGAGATGAGAATTATATTTGCGAAATTGATGAATTCAATGCAAAGACCATTTTTCCTCAACTTTTCAAAATGATGATATGGTCAGGAAACGATTGTATAGTTCGCTTAACAGTTTTATGAGCTAATAAATTATCAAATATACAAAATAAAGTTTGTTTCGCCAAACTTTAATGGTACTGTTATTATTATTATTGAAAATTTCAAAACAGTTGAAAAGTATAATCGATTAGATGGGAAAATTTACTTGCTAATCTCTTAAAATATTGATAACTTATCAAAAAATGATTTAAGGAATGCAAAAATTAATCTTGTTATCAACAATGCTAACAGTATCAAATTCAAGTTTAACATTTTATAGTGAATAAGGAATAACAAATCAGTAATAAAGTGATAATTTAAAAGAAATGATGCCTTTTCCATTTTATGTGAAATATTTTAAAATTTAAATTATAAATGCTTAAACACTATCTAATCAACAATGTTGAGAATGTTGAATTAAGGCCTCAGTGATATATTATGCGTCTGTTTAATATTACTAACAAACTACAAATTGTTAACTGTTGATTATACATTAGTATTTGATAAATATAATTCGAATCGTTTTAATATATATTACATTTATCAAATAACAACACCAAATTTTAATTCTAAATTTAAAATAAACCCAAACAAAAAAAACCTTAAATTTAAGCTAAATTAGTTTCTTCACCTAATATATATTATGTTTATTTCGCAATCTTCCCCCATAATGATAAAAAGATAATTTTCTTATTATAATTTAAACATGCACTAATCGTTTATCAATTTTATTCTTCCATAATTATAAATAATTTCATTCAACTCCCTCATATAATAGAACAACGCAAAAAGAAAAGATTAGAATGAAATAATCATTACCATGCTTCTTCAACATTTTATAAAACAATTATACCGCTCAAAATTTCCATAATTTCACTGTAAAACTGGCAATAATGGAAATTTCACATATATAAATTTATCATTTTAATGTTGAAGTGAAGAGTGATACCTATTTAACCTGGCCATTAATAGAAGTGAAATTCATGTATTGTCATCCTTTTGCTCGATAGTTGTTCAACCGAAGATTGTTTCTATCTTTGGTTAGCTGATATCAATCAAAAGGATGATAATACAGTGCCAATTTTTCAAAACTCAATCATAATAACCGTAAATTGTAACAAAATTATGTAGCATAATAAAATGTTCTTCACACTTGGCATATGCTTAAATGCTAAGTATAATTTTATGATTAACAATATAAAATGTAAAGATAATACATATTCTCAATTTCAAATTGTTTTTTCTAAATTTATGTACAATAGTAAAATAATCAAATATATTGTGATTTTTTCTTTTTGTAAATACAGTAAAAAAAAGAGCAAATTACGGATTAAATCATTTCTATCAGTATCACAGATCACATAAAACATTGACGTGTAAATCTGATGTAATGTAAACGTAACATGAAAGTAAAATTTTGTACACATTTATGCAATGAATAATAATAAATTCTCCATTCGAATAAATCTTAGGAAATCATTACCGCTAAATTAATTCTTTATCGAGAATCATTATCATTAATGCTACGACCAGCGAATAATAATAAATCTCCCATTCGAATAACTTTTACACACCTATCACCGTTATAATTATTGAAGTACTTTTTTAAGTGGTGAAATAAATCTTCAAAATTAACTAAACCATCATTACAGTGGCATTATCTAATAGATGATTTAAACGTTACATATTACAACGACATCAACAATTTATCGTTTTTTCTAAAAAAACATTTAAAATTTTAATTTAAACATATATCAACATTACATGATACTGCGTCGCACGATGAAATCGATAACTTCGAATTTTGAAACAGAAAAAGTAAAAATTAGCTTCTGAGTATGCAACAAAAAGAAACACATGTAATGAATGTAGTAAAATTGTGCGTACTGCTTGCTAATTTTTCTATTTTTTTGATTGTTAAAGCACTTTATTGAGTTGCGAAAAGAACTGCAATTTTAATGGTAGCGATGAATTCATAAAATAGAAATTAGAAAATTAGTGTAATCAAAAATAAAGAAAGAAGACCGAAACCGGTGCAGAGCTCCTCTGTTAGTTGAGAAAAGTTTCAAAAAAAAAGTCTCAACTATGAAAACATTCTCGAATTGATATCATATGATGGAAATACTCCCGAGATACTTTAACAATCTTTTCAAATAAACGAAAAAATTGATATCATCAGAATCATCAATACCAATTTAAACAACTAATGCCCCAAAAATAATATAATTCAACTGATGGAAAATTTTGATTCAAATAAACCTTTCTCATGAATGAATATTTTACCTGTTTGTTATTTTAAAAGAGTAAAAAGAAATTGTAAAATTTTGGAAAAATGACATTTACCTACTTTTTTCAGGGAAAAAAGAAGGATGAACGATTAGCAAAGCTCCTATAGAGATTAAAAAAACATTGTATAAACATTTTAAGGAAAGAAAAAACATTAGAATGCCAGAAGGTCATCATTTAGTGACCATCGTGTTGAATGCATAAATGTGTCACAAAAGATATGAGACATCTGAAAAGTTGATTTCTCGCAGCTACTCCAATGAAAACACACATTTATTTTATTATATCGAATTACCAAGGTTATATTAATCCATAAGATCAGTGAATGAATTAATCCCGGTAATAATACAACAAGAATCAAGGAATTCAATAAAAATTTCCTGAATTAATACCGGCTTTCGTGTGCTGATGCATTTTCTTTATATTCATCAATTACATTATTGTGAATGAAAAGAAAAAACAAAGTACACGATCAAAATGAAAGTACAGACAAGATTGCCAACAATTAAAAGAAAATACTGTGTAAATAATTTCAATAATATGCAAAGTGTTATAATGGGAAAAAAGAACGTAGAACAATTTCAATAAATGAATTAATTAAAATGGAGAACAACACAAATAATTTCAGTAAATTAAAAAAAAACAATAAAAAAGCATAAACAGTTTGTGCAAGTTCGATTGGTTAATGAAACTAAACAAAGTGTTTTTAAACAATAATATACGAGCAAGATTAGTCTTCTAATCTGATTCTCGATATCTAGCTCTCAATTGTATTAATTAGCAGCATTTTGAAAAGTATAGGACGAATAACAAATGAAAAAACGATGCTCTTTTCAGCTGGATAAATAATCATTCAATGTTATTGAGAATCATCGAAAAATTTTCTTCAATGACCAACAAAATTTGAATTTGATATTCAATCCCAACATTTCAAAAGCAAGCTAATCCTGAATTTTCCAGAAAAAAATTTTAATTCCTATTTATTTTCAATAACAGGAAAAAGGCATCAACTTCCTTTAGCAAAAACATATAAAAATATGGGAAAAGTATAATCAATAAAAGGGAAAATGTTCAACCGTCATAACGAGCAAGAGTTATTTTGTTTGGCTGTGTCATCATCCGAAGATCGTGCCTGAAAAGTAATATGCAAATAAAAAGTTGCAGGGAATATATTAATGGTGCTTCTATCTCATACATAAAGTACAAAAAGTATTTTGATACATAACAATTATGACATTTAGGATATTTACTGCAACAGTCAATTATTGGATATTGGTATTCAGACACTGATTATTTGTTATGAAATTTCGGAACTACTATAGCATATTCTTGAATTGTGAGCATTAAGTGCAGTATTTTACCATCAAGTAAATCATTTAAAAATAAATGGAATACGTGCTTACTATTCTTTAATAATAATCAGAATAACAAGAAACAAAGCCTACTTCAAATCAATTGGGATTAGATTAGCACATTTTTCGTTCAATCCATTTCGTATGATAGTATTGGCAGCAAGATCTTTCAAAGCTGGCGCTAAAATAATTAAAACATTAATTAAGAGTCAGCTTTCTTTAAATTGATAAACCTTCAGAATATAACAGCATATCCA